AACAGAGCTATGGTTGTTGGTTTTTACTAGTGTGATGGTTCTTTGAAGCACTAGCTCAAAGGGCTTGCCTTTATTTCAGGTACCTTGGAATTCTCTGAGTTGACCACACAAAGGTGAAAGCATTTAGAGAAAAATGTGTTATTAGCCATCTCTGTCTGATGCAAAGGATAAAACAAACAGAAGGACAGAAAATAGACAAACCAGAAAACTTGTGAGGAAGGGTTGGGAAGTGAGACCCAGGAGAATAGGGCCTTGAAAGGCTTCCACAAGTTCCTGGGAGCTTCAAAGACCCAGTTTTTGACAGAGATTGGCACGTGCTCAGAAATACTTGGTTTTCAAGTCCTCTTAAGTCCATACATTATCTTAATTCGTGAAAAAATTTTGACAAAATCCAACATCATTTTATGATAAAATTACTAAAAATGTTAGGTATGTAAGGAATGCTCTATCTGGATAGCATTTAGGTTGGGCACGAGTAGGAAATAAAAGCTATGATAGTTGTAAAATGCCTGAGTGTTGAAAGTGCGTCCTACTGCACATGCATATACACACAACACAGCGCCTACCCATGGAGACTTGGTTTTTGTACTTTGTTCATAGATACTTAAGAAAACTTTTATCTGATCATTAATTGACCACTATGCTAATTGAGCACAGACCTTATTGGTCCCACATGACAAAGAATACAGAATTGTCAGGAAAGCCAGTAAACCAACAGCCACAACAAGCAGCGGCAACAGAGGGGTACAGAAAATCCTGTTCTAGAGTTGCCAGATATTAGAGTTAAAAATTGCAATTTTCAACAAAAAAATTATGAAGCATGCAAAGAATGTGGGTGTGGTGGCACATACTTCTAATCTCAGCAATCAGGAGGCTGTAACTGAGCTCTGGGTTAGCCTGGGCTACAGCCAGACCCTGTTCTCAAACATAACAACAAAACTAGCATTCAAAGAAACAACAGAACAATGGGAAAGGTATTCATGGAGATGTCTCCAAAGAAATCCAGACTTTTGACTTAACAGATTTTAAATCATCTATTTTAAATTTGATCCAAAGGTAAAAACCACAAGAAAGGTCCATGGTGATGTTTCACCATTAGAGATTTATCAGTACATTTTTGAAATCCCAGGAGGGCAGCTGGGCACACAGGGACTAAGAAGAAATCCTAGGATTGGGAAGTGCAGCTGAAGTGGAAATGCACTGTAGGAGCTCTGTGACAGATCTGTGCAGACAGAAGTGTCAGCAGAGCTGTGGTAGGCCACTTGAGCTTCTGTAGTCAGAAGCAGGAATAAAGAGAAATGGAGGAGCTAATATGAGACTTGGGGGACAGTCAGTCATGCCACCCTACGTACAATTGGAGTCCCTGAAATATGGGAGCGAAAAAAATAGTGCAGAAATAATATTGGAAATAATAGCTAAACCAAGTTGTTAGTGCACCAAACCCAGCAGCATTTGGAAAGTATCATATGTGAGGACTAAGTGGGGTTTGTTCCAACTGAAAAATTTCGACACATGAAGGGAAGAATCTGCATGGTTGTCTCGGGTGGTCAGAAAACGCCTCTGACAGTTCAGTACCATCATGACAGAAATATGTGAGACTAATTAATGTAACACACTGCATTAATAGAACAAAGTGCAAAACCCACAAGTTATCGCAGTTCACTAAAAAAGCATTTGACAAAATCCAACATCATTTTATGATAAATACTAAAAATATTATAGATGGCCGGGTGGTGACGGTGCATGCCTTTAATCCCAGCACTCAGGAGGCAGAGGCAGGCGGATCTCTGTGAGTTCAAGGTCAGCCTGGTCTACAGAGCTAGATCCAGGACAGGCTCTAAAGCTACACAGAGAAACCCTGTCTTAAAAAGAACAAAACAAAACAAACAAACAAAAAAAGAAATCCTAACAAGGGCACTTGGGCAAGAAAAGGGGGAAAATGTATCTGGATTTGAAAGGAAGAAGTAAACTGTCTTTATTCACAGCTGATGTGATCGTGTCTATAAAAGCTTAAGTTCATGCAAAGCAGAAACCTGTCAGTGCTTATAATTTAGATTAAATATGAGTGAGTAAAAAGTCAGTAGTCCCATTTACAGTGGCATCAAGCATATTAAAGTTCTTAAGGGTGAGTTTAGCCAAGAAAATATGGGCTTGCTCACTGAGAACGAGAAAGCAGCTGGAGAGATGCAGGTCTTGTCTGCTGATCTGACCTTGACCCCAGAACCTAGGAAGGAGGGAGCTGACTCCCAACAGTCATCTTTTGACCACTATACGAATGGTATATATGATGGCATATATGTACCCACATTTATACTATCAAAGCAATTAAAAACCCACAAAACATTATTCAGGTAGCTTTAAAAAAAAAGCTAGTTGGGCGATGGTGGCACATACCACCCAGCACTCAGGAGGCCGAGCCATGCGGATCTCTGTGAGTTCAAGTCCAACCTGGTCTACAGAGCGAGATCCAGGACAGGCACCAAAACTACACAGAGAAACCTTGTCTCAAAAAAACCCACAAAAACAACAACAAAACTAAACTAAACAAGTGGAAAGGAATCTTCTGTTCATGTATGATACAAATTAGATATCATTAACTAAAATGTTAGCACTCACCTGTATCAATCTACAGATTTAATGTAGCCCCTACTAAAGTTACAACTACTGGGGCTGGAGAGAAGGTCAGTGGTTAAGAGCACTGGCTGGTTTGATCTCCAATACCCACATGGCAGCTCACAATCATCTAAAGCCACTCCCACTTCTGGGGGAATCCAGCACCCTCTTCTGGTCTCCATGGTTATTGTATGCATTGATACTTATACATGCAGGCAAAACACTCATGCATGTGAAAAATTAAAAATAATTAAAATCACAGTTACTATTTTTGCAGAAATTGACAAGCTGGTCTTAGCATTTGTATGAGTTGCAAGAGACTTGAAGTAGCCAAAATCAATCCTAGGACCACATTAGAAGACTCACATTTTCCAATTTTAAAATTCTACAAAACTAGATGGTTAAACCTTAAGATTGGATGCCTAGACTGATGGCTTACTGGAAAGTAAGCCCATATGTTTATGGCCTTTCAGTTGATTTTTGATGGAGGTGCCCAGGCTATTCAATGGAGAAAAAGAAGATGTTTTCAAAACTGAGTTGTGGTGGCACATGCCTTTAATCCCAGCACTCGGGAGGCAGAGGCAGGTGGATCTCTATGAGTTTGAGGCCAGCCTGGTCTACAGAGGGAGTTTCAAGACAGCCAGGACTGTTACACAGAGAAATCCTGTCTTGAAAAACCAAAACCAAAAAAGAAGGAGGAGGAGAAGAGGAAGAGGAGGAGAAGGAAGAAGAGGAGGAGAAGGAAGAAGAGGAGGAGAAGTTTCTAACAAGATGCTGAAACAATTGGACAGTCACATCTACAAGCTGCAAGTTGGACCCTTATGCCACATATGCATATAAATTATTTTAAAAATAAATAACTAAACTATAAACTCTTGTAAGAACATGGAATGGGTTAGTGACGTAGGCCAGTGGTAGAATCCTTGCCTAGTATGCTTGAAGCCCTGCAACTTTGCCCTGTAAAAGAGAGGAGAGGGGAGGGGAGGGGAGGGGAGGGGAGGAGGGATAGTGTTATGCCTCTATGTTTCCCAGTGGTTTAGCAGACACAACAGCAAAGGCATAAGCAATAGAAGAAAAAGTCAGTAAACTACACCTTATTAAAGTGAAACCTCTGTGCTCTAAAGGACACTATTAAAGAGGATGATGTGTGACTGTCGGTGGGAAGGCAGGAGAGGCAGTGGAACTGCTGAATGGTTATGGTGCTTTGGGGGGATGATGAAGATGCTATATGTATCTGTTATGGTTGTACAACCTTGAGGACATAGGAAAAGTTTCTAAATTCTGCAGTTGACAATGTTTTATACCGGTGGGCCTGCAAGATGGCTCAGCTGGTAAAGGCACCTGCAGCCAAGCCGATGACCTTGATCCCCAGGACCTACGTGGTGGAAGGAGAGGACCAAATCCCACAAGTGGTCCTCTGACTTCCACATGTGTACTGTGGTGTACACATAGGTGCACATAGCCAATAAGAAATACATGAAATACAAATTAAATAAAATTTTATACTGGTATGTAAATTTAACCACAGTTTAAGACAAAAGGAAGTAATTATGTATGCATAGGACTAATATCTTGTAATAACATATCTAATGCAAGAATGTAAGGCAAAATTGCCAAGAAGCACAAACTATAAGCTATAATGTGATTTGGTGGTGGTGATGGTGGTGGTGGTACTGGGGATAGAACCCAGGGCCTTGCGCATGACATACAAGTGCTCTATCCTTGAGCTACATTTCCAGCCCCCTTTTTTCACTTTTTGAGACAAAGTCTTACTAATTTGCCCAAGCAGTCCTTGAACTTGTGACTCTCCTGCCTCAGCCTTCTGAGAAACTGGGATTACAAGCCTGTGCTACCAGACCTGGCTTGTAGTTTAAAGTTATGTTAGGAGCTGGGGATGTATCTTAATGGTAGACATTGCCTACCATGTGAGTTCCTGAGTTTTATCCCCAGAACCGCAAAACTATAATAATAATAAAATAAAATTATGTTTATATTTAGATTCTGTTTCATCAATTTTATCAAAGTCTTTATAAAAGTGGTGTTTTGTTTTGTTTTGCAGTGCTGGGAGCGAACCCAGGGCCTCAAGCATGCTAGGCAAGTGCTCTACCACTGCTATATCCCCAGCCCTACAAAAATATTTCTATCTTGGTTATTTAAAATCGTTTGAAACAAAACATTAAATACAAATATTTGATGATGGGCATTGTAACATACATTTGTAATTACCAACACTTGAGAAGCTGAATCAGGAAAATGAGAGTTCAAGGCTAGCCTGGGCTGTGTAGCAAGATTTTGTTGCAAACAACAACAAATATTTGAATTTGTTTTTGAAATGGCAAGCAGGATACCAGCAATATATCTAATGTTTTATCAAAGTCCAATGTAATACATTGGAGAAATGTGTTGATTAGTAAAATTATATATAAATGTGCAGTGCTATTTGAAAAATATCTCAGTGGTATAATTTGATTTTTATATCTGAAAGGCCCTTCTTTATCCTCATTAAGGTAGCTACCTTTTCCTTTTATTCTTCAGTAATAGACAGTGTCTTATCATAGAGCCTAGAGTACATAGGTCCGCCTATGTAGTCAAAGGTGTCCCCAAACTCGAGCTCCTCCTGCCTCAGGGTTCTAAGTGTTGGGATTATAGATGTGGATGATAACTACTCACCATCACTGTATTTCATGCCTGCCCTTGCATTTTTTGCCAATAATCTCTGTTGAATTGGAACATGTGAACCAATATGTAACTTTTTAGATTTTCTAGTAGCCACATTTAAAAAGTTAAAAGAAGTTAGTTTGAATGTCTCAATTATCTATATTCAAAATATAAAATGTTTTCACATGCGATCAATATTTTAAAAGTGTATCAATGAGGTATTTTACATTTTCTCAGTCTTTAAAATCTGATATGCACCAACATGCCATGTCAGTTCAGATTAACCACATTTTAAGTGCTCAGTGACTACTTGTGGCTACTGACTTGATTGCTGGACTGTGCAGGCTTGGACAAGCAGAACTAAGACATCATCTTCAGACTAAATGTACTTGTCTAGGAATACATGGAAGGGAAGCTTTGTTTTCCTTTCTTGCCCAAAGCCAAGAATGAGTTTATTTTATTGGCCAGCTGTTGACTTTAAAGATACAAACAAAAATCTTGGTGTTTTAGCAGGGCGAAGAAAAGGAAGCGTGGGGTAAACATGGGTGTGTGGGTTGAGCGTAGGTGTATGAGAGGAAGGATGGAATGCAGATTTGTGGTGGATAAGCCCGAGAGAAGACGCAGAGAAAACACTTGGGCTTGTAGAAAAAGTGTTTGTAGAAAAGACTCAGTGTAGGAATATGCTTCTGCTCAGATAGGAAAGATCCCTCATTAGCCAAGGAAGCCTTCCCAGTCTGCACTGCCACCGTCGCCCACGTGATAGGGACATTCCAGAGCAAGCAGCGTCTGAGAGCAGGCGTGACCAGTGCATGATGTGGTCCTTACAGCTACTTTTTAAAGAACACTTTATGTATCTTACTTTCTCTCCCCTTCCTCAAAAAGAAAACAGAACAGAGATAGAAATAGAGAAGACAAAATAAAGAATGGAAGAAACATTGTGGGGTTGGGCATAGTGAATATAAACTAGTGTGCCCTAGTGAGTAAAACACTGAATGATGTGAAGATGGAAAGTGTAGGTACGGAGGAGGGAAGCATGACAGAGCGAGAGGCCTGTCCGAGAGAAACGTGAGCTTCACCACAGACTTACCGCGGCCTTGCTTGCTTTACAGCTGTGCCACTGCCTACGTTCTGCTGGCCGAAGAAGAAGCGACAACAATCGCAGATGCGGAAAGGCTGTTCAAACAGGCCCTCAGGGCGGGGGAGGTCATTTATAGACGGTCACAGCAGTGCCAGCACCAGAGTCCTCAGCATGAAGCTCAACTGAGTAAGCAAATTCGAACTGACTACCATTCCTTTTTTCCCCCTTTTGGTTTCTTGAGGTGTTAGCCTCAAATTTGCCATGTAGATGAGGATGGCCCAGAACTGATCTTCCATCCTGAGCTGGGATTATAGGCATGTGCTACCAGGTCCAGATTCTCTTAACTTCTGAACTTGTGTCTTTTGTGTTTAAAGCATGAAACAATAATAATAAAAAAATATGTAAAATATTGATAATTTTCATGAGACAACCGATAGATTCATATTTCTGGTCTATTAATTCTAACAAGCTTACAATACAGAAAGAAATATGTAACATTTGTGGAAAGGAACACATCTGCTTTGGTTACCTTGAAGAAAAATATGTTGTTTTGAGACTGAGCATTTTAGAACTGGCTGTCGCTAGACCAAGAACACTTTTTAAAATTCAAGGGAATCTTCTAATGATGACAGGTAGTACTGAGATCCTCCCTAGACAATAGATATTGTCTTTACCCTGACTCTTCCCCAGAGCAATGGGAGGGGGCACATTTTTTGCATTTCTGGGAATCAAATCCAGGGCTTCCCTCCCGCATGCTTGGCAATATCCAACCCTGAGCTACATACCCAGCCCAAGCTCACTGTGTCTGCTCTCAGTCTGTGGATCTGTATGTGGTACCAAAGGGTGCTCCTCCCTCCTCCTCTTTGATCTCCTTCCTTCTTTCCTTCCCTTATTCCTTCCTCCTCTTGTTTTCATTTGTCTGTTTGTCTTGTTTTAAGGCAGGGTCTTGCTCTTACAGTCCAGGTTGTCTCAGAATTTGGGATCCTTTTTAGGGACTGCTCCTTTCACACCATCTGATGCTTAGTCCATACTCCAGTCTCATGTGACATTGGTTCTTTCTTTGGTTGATTTTTCTCCAGCATGCTTGAGATAGGATGAGGCACAGGGACCATTGTCTTCTGGAGATGCTCTTCTGGTTAGGGTTGCAACACTCACCAAAGCTGTTAGAATCGGCAGTGTTGCCATTTCTGGCTGAGATTTGTGGCCAGGGGGTTTTAGTTTCATGATTTTGGCAGATACTGGGCAATAAATTGAAATATGTTTACACGAGGCATTATCTCTTAGCAGCTAAGTTCTACATCTTTTGTTTATGGAAATTAAAATTTGGCTAATGTTTTCTCTCAGTTAAGTACTTGTGTTTACAATATATTTCATTAAGGCATGTTATTATACAAAACTATGGGAAGAGTTAATCTTGCAGTCTGGAACTAACGAAACTGCATCTATAAAAACCTCTAGCTATTTGCCCTTGCATAATATCAAATCTAGTTATCTTGTAGAGTTTTTAATTTAAAAAATGATACTTGTGTATATATATATTTGTATGTGTAAGTGTGTACATGCACACATACGTGCATAGAAGTCACAGCTTGTGTGTGTCAGTTTTCTCCTTCTATCATATGGGTCCCAGGGCTCAGACTCAGGTCCTCAAGCTTGACAAGCAAGCTTCTTTCACCTGCTGGGCCGTCTCACTAGCCCATGCTAAGGATTTTCTCTTAGCCCTTTCGAGCCATAGTTTCTTAATTAATAACTTAATGGAAGTCTATATTATTCATGGAAATTTTGTTTTAGGACATTTAGAATCTTTGGGCCAAAATAATACTAAAATTATAGATTGTTTATGCAGAAACTTGAGATTGGTAAATATATATCTTCCTATTAATACCTACTTGTTTTCTGTCAGTATTAAACTCATCAACCAAATGAGCTATATATACTACATTCAACTTGCTTACTACTAGAGGAAAAAGTAATTAAATATATATTTTAAGTGTTTAATATAGAAAGCACACGTAAAAATAGAGAACATTTATTATTTTTCACCTAAATTTAATATTCACTTATAATAATGCATTCTGATATAATTTAATTTAATAGGTCTTCCAAAATATGCAAATAAAACTATTGGATAATATTTTAATGAAATATCAGGCTATAATACAAAAGTGATAGCTGTGTCATTTCCTTGTTTTTCTAAATAGGGCGAGATACCAATGTACTTGTATACATAAAAAGAAGATTGGCAATGTGTGCAAGAAAACTGGGAAGAATCAGAGAAGCAGTGAAAATAATGAGAGATGTAAGTACATTTGATAACACAACCATTATTTTTATAGTGCACAAAACTAAAACAAAAATCAGTTATTTTAATGCACAGTCACTGTTTTTCAATTGCTCATTTCTATAACAGGATAGTATATATATATATTTTTGTTATTGTTTTTTTCCTTGAGACAGGGTTTCACCTTGTAGCTGTGGTTGTCCTGGAACTCACTCTGTAGTTGAGTCCTGGCCTCAAACTCACAGCAATCCACCTGCCTCTGCCTCCTGAGTGCTGGGATTAAAGGTGTGTGTCACCATGCCCAACTAGGATATTTTCAATATGCATACATTTCTTAAGGATTAGGTCTTCATAAATTCGTAAAAAAAAAAAAAAAGCAAAATAATTCATACTTTAACAAACCTGGTTCAGCTCCTCTGAGTTTTCCTGTCATGATTTATTTTGATTTTAGTCTTTTTTTTTTCCCTTCCTTTTAATATACAGTTGATGAAAGAATTTCCTCCTCTTACCATGCTGAACATCCATGAAAACCTCTTAGAATCACTTCTAGAACTGCAGGCCTATGCAGATGTTCAGGCAGTCCTGGCAAAATATGATGGTGAGTTTTGTGTGTGTGTGTGTGTGTGTGTATTAGTAGATAGCATGATTATAGTCTCTTTTCAGCATGGCTATAGTCTCGTTTCGAGTGTGTAATCATTAGTCCAGTCCTGTTCTGGTGTTTCTCTGGTGCCTCTTTCTAGTCTTAGCAGTCAGTTTTAAGGTGTAGGTATAGCTGCTGTGAAGCATCTTCTTTATCTGTCCTTCCAGCTGAAGGTCACAAGGAGCTTTTCCTCTCTGAGGATGTATTCTTTGTTAACTGAATGTGTGTGAGGCACTTAGAACGCAATGGTGAACATGAAAACATGGATTTAACCTATATGGCATTTTTTTTTTTTTTTTTGGTTTTTTGAGACACAGGGTTTCTCTGTGTAGCTTTGCGCCTT